CCCCAAAACCCCAAAACCCCAAAACCCCTTAAGAATAAATTTGCTTTATCTAATTGTTTTTTAAAAATAAAATTTCATCCTAAGTTATAAAATAAAATCAAGTTTTCATAAAAATGCTGGGATAAATACTTGACGCTGCAAATTACAGACCAGAATAGATGCATCCATATTCATCAAGAAACTTAAGAACAACGAGACATTAAGATTTAAAATCTACTCTATACTCTTACAACTTAGAGCATAAACATGGGCTGGGGAGAGGTACTCACAGACTAGGGGATGAATACTTCAAATCCTTTTCTAGGACAACTCTTGGAAATAAATTCATAGTTGAAACTCAATAGGAGGATAAGAAAGATGAGAAGGTCTATGAATAAACTCATATCTAGATAAATAAAAGATCCTCAGTTATAATGGAGACCAATGAGATGCCCAGAGCATAGAGTAGGGTTTAATAAAGAAACAAAAATCTTTTAGACTTCATAAGACAAAGTGCTTGCTCCTCAGCTCGAGGCGAATCAAGAACTCCTCAAAAGGTTAATACAAGACCTGATAATATATTAGAGCACAAATCTTCCTCAAAGATATCAGGCATGTCCGATAAGAAATTCGAGAGTTTATTTGCATAATCTGATTAAAAAATAGGAAACGATGAATATTAAGTTACAACTAGGAAATAAATATTGCAAAATAACCAGTAAAAGTAGGGAAGTTTTACCTCAAGAAATAATCATGATAACTTTTACTAAAGGCCATTTACTTAATAAGGAGTAACACATAGACCAATGACTACTACATTAGGTAATGAATCAAAATTAAGAACTACTTAATCGATTGCTTCTTTCAAAAATCTTGAACTCAATACAAGCAAAAGTTGCAAGAGTAATAGTGAGGAGGAAGATGATGACTCACAAAATAGAAAGTCAGTGATTCAAAAGCGTGAGGAAAAGCTAGTCAGCACTCTAAATAAAAAAGGAAAGGCACTACCATAGCCAAAGAGATAACTTTTGAAATAGATTATGAGAAATCAATAGCAGTTGGTGACTGACAAGAAAATTCATTATTAGAATGAATATGATAAGTAGTTTTTGTCTAGCAAAATGAATGAACTTTATGTGGATGCATTTAGTACTTTGATGCATAAGCATAAACCAGAGGATTAGGAAGACAAAGTCTTAAGTAAAACCTTCAAAGATCAGAAAGTATTATTCAAGTAAAAGATCAAGGAGATATTAAGCTAAAAGAAGGATGATAAAAAAGATTTAAAAAAATCAGATTAAAAAAGTTAAGATATTGCTGATACTGATATTGAAAGTGAAGTGATAAATTAGGTAAAAAATAAAAGGAGATCTATTTTGAGAATAATAAAATCACCAAAAGATCAACAGAATGAAAAAGAACAAGATGATGAGCCTAAACCTACATAAATATTAGGTAGATTGCTAGCAGAGCTTAAGAGAGCTAAGATTTAGTAAAACTTTGAAAAAAATGGTTTAGCATCAGGCGGCAGTTCTCTCTTTTAAAAGCTGACTGCATTTGATAGATCTAAGTTGCTTTTTTCAAAACTGTAAGTGAAATTCTCAGATGATGTAGAAAAGCGTTTGAAGGAGTTGCAATAATAAGCTTTGGTGACTAAGCACTCCCAACTTTCAGCTAGCAGTAGTGTAGATAATAGAAGCAGGTAGTTTTGTTCTGTAATCAAAGTCGAACATAGGTATTAAGTTAGAGATAATTTAGAGTTAGACTTCTTTTTAGAGGCTTAAGACTCAAAAAAGAGATTTTTTATCTCTAATTTGATAGATTTTGACAATGAAGTATTTGCTCCGAAGCCAAGTGGAATGATTGGTCCCAACTTTTAATATTAAATTAATAGAAAGGATGCTAGATCACTAAATGGAGAGCAAGATCACATTGCTTAATGCTTTTGGAATAAAATTAATCATAATGGTGATATTCCTTCTAACAGAGAGAATGCTTATATGTTTACTAAACAGAAAACAGGAAAGATTTACTTATTTGGAGGACATAATGGTGCTGATTTAACTGATATCTATTCATTTAGTTTGAAAACATTGTCTTGGAACAGAATAATTCCTAAATTGAATGCTAATGGTGAAATTAAAGCTCCTATCTAATTATATGGATATGGTAGTGCCTATTGGAATAGATAAAACAAACTGTTAGTGTTTGGTGGAGCAAGAGATATTGAGAATACTGGCAAGAGGAGAAATAAGCAGTGCTTGAGAGATATAAGACTATTCGATTTTAAAACAAGGATATGGGAAGAATGCTAAGTGGTAGGAGAGGATGTAAGAGGTAAATAAAATATGGCTTGCTGTTTAATCGAATAAGATGATGGCAACGACTATTTCTACATTCATGGTGGATTCTAGAACTAAAAATACTTCAGTGATCAAGCATTCAGGTTGAATCTCTCCATGATGAGCTGGGAGAGCATTTAGTTTACCGAGGGAAGCGCTAAGCCATCTCTTGCCTATCACACGATTACAACTTATAGAAAAGGCTCTCAGTTTATTTTCTACATATTTGGTGGAATAGACAATCAGCAGCATTCTCCTTCTAATTACATTTATGAAATGTATCAACACAAAGATAATAAGCAATTCGTTATAAAATAAATAACTGACTTTAAGGGCTAACCTCCTATCCCTAGGTCTCATCATACTGCCTCGATTTTAAAGGATCGATACCTATTCGTATACGGTGGAAGGAATGATTTACTATTCAAAACTTGCGAGTCAGCTGACATCTATGTCAATGATATAGCACTGTTTGATTTTCAGAATAAGGAATGGGTGAATTTTAATCAGTATGGATATTATCCGATTGGAAGATGGGGCTCATCAATAACCTTCGTTAACAACTAATATGATGACAAGAATACTCAGGCTATTGTTTTTGGTGGTACTAATCTTAAGGGCTATGTTCCGAATTTTACCTATAAGTTATTGATTGGAAAAGATTTGGTATAAGAGTAGATCAATATTAACAAGACAAAGATAAAAGAATTTTTCTAATAGATTCGAACAGGAACACTGAGAGAAACAGAAGAATCTAAGAAAAAGAAATGAATAGATTTTATTCATTTGAAATTATAAATGAAGCACAGATTAACTGATACGATATTTTATTAAATCTTTATTATCAGAGAGTATCTCATTGGTTTAATAAACTTATCGGGGTTTTGGGGTTTTGGGG